GTCCAATACTGAGAGAATATTGACCGGCAACAGAGCATTTTGATTGGTTGATTTTAGTTATTGGCCCTCTGACTGCCCGAGTCATGTAATAAGAGGTATTATTATATAGCCACTAGTGCCTATTAGCATTATGAAGTGAATTCTGTGTTCTGGTTGGGTAACTGAGTGGGTATTAGATGGACCCATCTCATGCACTCAGGATTGTCCACCTTGATCCCATGCAAGAAAAAGATTGCATGGAGCGGACTTATACATGTATGAAGTTTGTGACTTTTTTACAATATTGGTGATGGAGTTACAAAATAGAGAAGATCAAAGAAAACATTAAACCACTCTCTTGGGTTTATTGTGCTACAAACTGTTTGATTTCTTTCCTGGCTCTCCAAATAAACAAGTCCTTCTTAATTCCTGTTGTGTCAAAATCTTATTACCATATAAATCTTTGATTGACCAAGCTTGGTCAATAATGCATACTGCATAGTCGGTGCTGTTATTCAATAATCACACCAGTGCTATAAGAATGTGTCATGAGCTCAGAATAATGCATCCCAAAGCTACTAACAATAAAAATTACTTTGCCCACAGTTTTCTCTCACTAAACAGGTTACACCTAGCTACAATTTACAACAGTACTGTACGTAGGATTCATTAGACTTTTAACTTTACGCTATACAAGTAACAATTGTAAACCTGCAACATACAACATACCTCCATCTTTGCAAGATCCACTCTGAGTTGATCAACCTCACTAGCCTTAGATATCAAGTGTCCATGTAGATCATTCATAGCACCTGACTGCAAACAAAAATTGTATTAAAAACTTGTTTTAAACATCAGGAAAACCAACAGTGCTGGTCCTGTAAGGAGTGGGGGGGGGGCTGAAAAGTAATGTTCTGAGTGGCAAGAGAACTTTTCAACTTACTAGCCAAGTGGTTAGTGACATCTTGGATGTTACTACAATTACAGTTTGTTTATTAGCCAAACTGGCTAGTGGATATTGAAAACCACTAGCCAAACCTGAATTTCTACTAGTCTGTGGTTAGTGGGCTTAACTGTTAGTGTCGAGCCCTGCCAGTCAAGTATTACACAGACTTGAGTGAGAGCTTGAGACAAAATTGTTTTGAATTATTACTTTTTACTGGAGATTGCAACTGTAATCAGTGTTCCCTTTCTGTTGTACAAAAGCTCTTATTTAGGGTTGTCACGGTCAAGGAAAAACAAAATTTTTTCAAGGTCAGGGAGAAGTCAGGGAATTTTGCAAAAAGTCAGGGAAAATCTTAGTTCTCGTCAAAGTCAGTGAAAAGTCAGGGAATTTTGTTTCGAGGGTTCCACAAAGGTTTGTGAAGTAGTTGATCAAGTGTAGCAAATCGGATAGAAACCTTAAAAGCGATGGAGAAATCTAAAAGTGGATTTGGCCTGTTTGATAATTAATTTAATTCGAGGTCAGGGAAAAATGTTTTGAGGTCTGGGAAAAGTCAGGGAATTTTTAGGGTTCTAATGAGTGGTAACCCTGTTATTTTGAGGTTGAGCGTTAACAGCATAGCAAGACATTAATATCGATCTACAGTCTACAGTCGGCTTTGAATTCTTACCTGACATGTCAAATATTGAATTATAAAATTTATAAAATAATATTATAATTACAATGGTGATATTAGATGTAGTCAAACAAATCATCCAACAAAAATTTGTGTGCTTTAATTTTATTGTCTGCCATATAATTATTCTAATATGAGTTTGGAGAATTAAGTGTTAGATCAACTACACGTCATACTGGGTAATCCCCTAATTAACAATTGTCTATATTCTCAACACTTGTCTGCTTGATGTTTTATTGTTTCTCTAAGGAGAAATTTCACCTTGGTCACTCGTGGGGGTTTAAGATTTAAAGTTAGTTCAGATTAATTTCTGATATGTATCCTATGATAAGACATCAAGAGTCTTGTCACAGAAAAACAGAAAAATAACTTTTTCATGATAAAGTTCAAGTACAGCTGTGGTCCAAAAAAAAAAAAAAAATCAGCAATTTGAATTAGAGCTGTAGATTATGTATTCTGATTGTCCAGGTGCTAGCAGTCCTGCACAGGACTGTTAATCACCTGCTAAAGTCGGCTCTTCATTGTTGATTGTGAACTGATCTTCCTTAAGTCATCACCTTGGAAATACCGTATACAACTCTAGAACACTATGGAAAGTACGCATACAGATGTAAAGGGTAAAAAAGAATTAAAAACCTACAAAAACTCTGTCAACTTGTCTTCCAACTTGGGTTCTGATCATGCTGTCAACACCATCTGGTGGCTTTAGGTTCTCAGCCCCACCTGAATTGGATGCTTAA